ACAGGGAAGAGGAGTCCAGGGCGGAGAGGGGACCGCGGTGCTCCGCCACATGACGGAGACGACGCAACAGTGGCTGCCAGGATCGCGGCAGTGTGACAAGCGCGCGCCGCGTCCGAGCTGCGGCGCACGTTGAAACCAGGGCCGAAATTTTCGGGCCACCAATGGCCTCAAGGCTGAGCCAGTCTGACATTCCCATGGCCGAGGCAGCACACCTCCAATATCTCGAAAACCAGTAGCGTTCAGTGCGGCCGAGGGTCCATGGGAGGGGGAGGAACTGAGCTATGTACGACGCGCAAGGGGCCACTCTGGTGGCGTGGATGCGGAGGAGAGAGGCGGCATCAGCACCAGTCTTCGCGAGCCCCCGATCTCGGGAGCTCATCTTAACCCACGGCGCGTCCCAATTAGAGGCAAGCGAAGCCCCAGGGCCCAAGACAAAGCCTAAATAGAGGAGAGCGTCGGCGACCTGAAAGGAGCCCCACTCAGGGGACGCCCTACGAAGCTGTTCCAAGACTCGAGCTTTACGGGTCTCCGAAAAGGGGCCGCCGAGAGGGGCAACCTTACACTTCCGTGGTTTTAAAACGAGACCCGCCAGCAGCTCAGCCCATCTAAAGGTTCTCACCATCTCCCTGAGGCCCTTCGCGGTGCGGATCAGACCTCCAACATCGTCAGCGCAGCACCTCACTACGCCGTGGAACCGACGCTGCACAGACACTTCCATGTCGAGGTAGAAGGGGTTCGGGGCGATCACATACATCGTTCCAGACAGCGGGCGCCCCTGAACCACGCCTGAGAGGATCCAGTAGAGGAGGTCCCAAGGGCCCGAAGAGGCCGTGAAGCACGGGTTGAGGCAGCACAGGGTCTGGACACTCACCTGAAACCCACGGGGCACCAAAGCGAGGCCGACGTTCAGGCAGACCCAGCGCTGGGACACGGAGGGGAAGGCCTGGGCGAAGCCGTACGCGACGAGGAGGGGCTCGAACGGGTCCGACTCCGAGTACCCCCAGCTGGCGATCCTGGCGAAGGTGTCGAGGTCCAGGACGTTTTCTAAATGCTGTCGACCCTGGATGAGGCCCCTCTGGATGGAGGCCCCCGCTTTCTTGACCCACGGGCGGATCCCGAAGTTCAGGAGCGAGCTCACCAGCTTATTGGACATATTATTCAGGCCCAGGGGCCGCGTGTCGTTGCAGCGGCGAACGATCCTGGCTCCAGGGATTTCCTCATCGGCCGAGAGGTCCTTCGGGAGGAAGACGCCCAGGGAAGCTCCAAACCAGGAAGGGGCCCACCACCAGAGCACACGTGGAAGAGCATCTCCATGATGACCCCAGGTCCCGCACCCACGGACCACGCGCAGTAGGGGAGCCCATCAGGGCCTGGGGCCGCCTCCAGGACATTGCCTAGGAAGGAGGTGAGGTGACGGGTGCACGGCGGGGGGATGTCAGACGAGTCGAACTCAGGGCGGAAGCGAGATGCATATTTTTCCGCCGCCCGGTGCAGCGGTGGGTCGCGCTGGAAGATCTCCGCCCAGTGCCTGCCGAGGGCGCAGTTCCTCTCCTGCAGCGCGTGTGTGACGACGTCCTCGGCACGCTGGTCACCTTCAGGAAGAAAGACGCCCGCAAGGCACCGCCGACGCGCGAAGGGTGACCACAGGCGAGCGCGCCGCTGCGCAGCACGGCGTTGTGCGGCGAGACGGCGGACATCAGCAGGCCGCTCGGCAGCAGCTTGCGCTCGCTGGAGCGCAGACGCCCGCTCCTGCGCTTCCTGCTGCTGCAGGTCAGAGTGGAGGTCACGGAAGCAGCCCGCGTTCAGGAGTGTGACCACCCCGCCCTCGATGTACAAGAGCTTCGACGTCCACGCATGTCGAGCCAGAAGTGTGCGAGCCAAGGCCACATCAGACCGCCGCACCGCCCGAGCCACGCTCCTCGCGATCATCGCCCTCTGCGACTTGCCATTCGTGATGCGCTGCAGCTGGTGGTTGCGAGTGAGGCGGCCTGCAATCTGCCGACATTTCGTGGCCACCCACAGCTTCTCTACAGGGGACATGAGGGGCTGGATCCCGCACAGTTTCTCGTAGTCCGCAACCACCTTGGCAAAGAGTGGGCCCTTGCAGATGCCCTGGGGGATCGGGCGATCACGTTTCGAAGGCTTGCACGATGCGAACGCGAGCGCAATCGGGACATGGTCGCTGATGCGCTGACGGTGGCACTCCCCAGGTTCACCGCATACGTGCATCGACTGGTGGAACTGGACCGGCAGCCAGGGGGGGGCAAGCCACAAACGCACGATCCACACGGTTGGCCGACTGGGTCCCTTGATGCCAGTTCGTGGGCCGATCGATCTCCATCTCCGTCATGCCCCTCCAGATCTGGCGCCAGAGCGAGTCCCCAGGCCGGCCCTCCAGTCCTCGGGGGGCCGATGTACGCATCGCAGACGGCACTGGACAGGGCTGACCAGTACCTGCCGCCGAAGACCCAGTACACGTGGATGCCCGCATGGACGCTCCCAACCCATGATCTCCCGTGGGGGGGGGCCGACATCCTCAGGCGGCTCGACACTCTCAGGCGGCTCGACTCCATTCGGAGGCCGCGCGCTGGAGAGTGGCCTCGCGCTGGAGGGCGAAGGTGGGGAGGGGTCCACGAATGTGGAGGTCCTCTGTGAACGAGTCGGCTGCTGAGGTAGCCCAGACACAGCAGTAGAGCGATCAGCGATAGCATCCGAAATGTTGAAGTCGCCAATCAAGATCTGGGCGAACCGCATCGGGTGCAGGTGAACATCAGCTTGCTGAGCACGCGCCAGATCACGAAGCTGAAGAAGGTCGGCCTTGTCGATGCCGTAATGGTGCACATTCCAGTGGAAGAAAGTGAAGCCCGCGATGCGGTGTCGAATTTCCAAGACCAAGACGCGGCCAGGAACCTCGCGCACACGCCGAATAAGAAGAGAGTGTGACAGATGTTTAGGCAGAAGAGCAACCAGCCCACCCCCGATCTCAGCACCAGGGGGCCCCGATACGAATCGCATGTATGAGCACCCAGACCGCTGCAAAACTTCGTCAACGGCAACTTCATTCCCTCGAACTTCTTGAAGAGCGATGATGGAGGTGTCGGAGTAGAGGGAGTTGAGGATGGAGAGCTTACGATCGATGCCCTGGGACAGGTAGTGACAGAGGGAGAAGCAATGCCAGGACACAAACCGCACTTCTGTAGCATTCATGACCGTGTTACCCATCCCACTCGACGGTGGGACGCTGGAAGAGGTTCTTGACCAACGTGTCAAGCGGGCCCTTCTCCAACCGCATGTCGGCGAGCTTGGCGTTGTTCCAGCGGATCCTCGGCACCTCGACAGGGTCCACGACGATGGATACCAGGGGCTCCCACTGGCGGCTGACCAGGCCCGCGTCGCGGTCCCCGAGGAGGCGGGCGCCGAGGTGCTCCGACAGCGCGCGCACGACCCTCTTGACGGCCAGCTCCCTGGCCTGGGTGTGACGATTCTTGTCGAGCCCGATGTAGAGCGGGACCGACCGACCAAGAGGAAGCTCGACGGCAAAGCGGCGCCACGTGCCACGGTCACCCCGCAGTGCACTGAAGGCGTGGCGGATGCGCGAGTCCAGTGTCGCATCCATGGCGCCTTTGAAGCGGAGGACGAAGCGTCGCGAGATGCCAGAGCCCTCCAAGTCGCATTGGCCGCCGATGGTGTAGCCCACCTCCTGGAGCCACGGGCCGATGGCGGCCTGGACCGCTCCGAACGGGACCTCCTCTTTGCAGTTGATCGTGAAGATCGCACGGTCGATCTCGCGGTCCCAGTTGGCCGATCTTTCGACGGGTGGCCGAGGGCGCGATCGGGCAATGTCGAGCTGCGACTCGAGGTGGCTGAGCCGCGCGGACAGGGCCACGACGCTATTCCCCTGCTCGGTGAGGCGCTCACTGAAGGCCTGGAACCTGCGATCTATCTCCGCCAGGCGCGAGTCGAAGGACTGCTGGATGCGCTGCAAAACAAGCGAGGTGGCAGCATCCACGGCGGAGCCCAGGTGCTTTTCCAGGACCATGGGCAAGGATTTCGCCATGGCCTCCGTGATCGCCGCGTGGGACGCCGCCTTGATTTCAGCCGTCCACATCTCCCGCATACCAGCGAGCTCCGATTGGACAGCAGCGCGGGCAGAGGAGGCAGCCCAGGGATCCACTCCAGCAGAAGGCCTCCCCTCGGCAGGAGGGGTCGCAGCGGCAGGCCCAGAAGGGGACGGGACTCCCGCTTCACCATATCCCCGTCCAGCACGATGATGGTGTGGAGGGGTCGGCCAGGCCTGGAGTCCCAGGCTGCCAGCGGAGGCGCCACCGAAATCCCCCACCAGCTCCTGCGACGGGAACGTGGGTGCTGCTGCCAGCTCCTCCAGGAGTGCCATGGTATCAAGGGCAGCGCCAGCAGCGGGTGCACGGGCTTCGGCGCCAGTGGAGTGCTCGCCGTAGCTGCTGCGAGACCGCTGGCCAGGGGTCGAGTCCTGCCCGCGCCGATCACGTCGAGCAGCTCGCGGGGTGTGCATAGGAGACGAAGCAGCAGACACAGGAGACAGCCTGCCAGAGCCATCATCCGAGGGCGAGCGTCCCTGCCTCCGTCTGCCAGGGGTGCCGTCACTCTTGACACCCTTCTTGACTTTCCCATCTTTCTTTTCTTTCTTCTCTTTCTTATCCTTGTCCTTTTTTCTCAGTGCGGTCTGGCATCCGTGGCGGGTGCCCGACTCCCGCAGTGAAGGCGAAACTCTCGATGCTGCGTCGCCTGGGAACGGCTCACGCAGCGGTGCGACGAGAGAAACTGGGGTCTAGCCGCGGACTAGCGGTATCCACTTGTTTCCCCTGGGAAACTAAAGCCTTGAGCCAAAATGGCTACGGAGGAGGAGGAGGAGGAGGAGGAGGAGGAGAAGGAGGAGGACGACGACGACGAGGAGGAGGAGGAGGAGCACGACGACAACGGCGGCGGCGACGACGAGGGGAGGGGAGAGCTAAGGCCGAGGCGCCCCAGCGGAGGGCGAGGCGCTTCCCATTTTGGCGGCCAGCGAGTACGGCTTGAGGCCGCGGTCGGCGGGGGCGGCAGAGCGGCTCAAGCCGGACAAGTAGTGCAAGCCTGCGGCGCTGCTGGCCTCCTCCTCCTCCTCCTCCTCCTCCTCCTCCTCCTCCTCCTCCTCCTCCTCCTCCTCCCCCTCTTGACGGCCATGCCCGACCTGAGCCAATGCCAGGGAGGGACCGGGTGGATCGGTGACCACCGCGCGGGAAGGGGCAAGAGCGAGAGCCGCCGCACCCGCCACGGTCCCACCAACGGCTTCGATGAGCACGGCTGGCTTCGACGACGCGTGGCATCCGAGATCGCAAAAACGGCCGTGCATCTCTGCCAGACAAGTCTCCGCGATGCAGCGTCCCTGGACGCTGAGGCTGCGCCACGAGGAGCGAACGGATGCCACATGGTCCAACGCGGGCCCAGACGGAGAGGTTCGGGAACAGGAGCAGGAGCGCGGGCGGACACAGGGAAGGGTCTAGGGGCAGGGCAAGGGGATCAAGGAGAAGGATGAGGAGAAGTGGGATGACGAGGGCGAGGGGAGAAGGGGGGGGAGAGGGGAGAATGGGGGAGAAGAAGGGTGAAGAGGATGGAGCAGGAACAGGAGCCGGTAATAGAGGAAGAGAAGAGGGTGGGCCTCCGACGGCAGTTCTCGAAGGCACGAATTGGCGGCTATCTCATCGCCGCCCGGCGCCGCGGGAGCGCCGCGGCGGGGTGTGAGGCGCGGCGACAGCTCTCCGGAGGACGCTGGCTGAGCGCGCCCGCGCCAGACCCTCCCTCTTCGTCGCTCTTCCTCCCCGAGGGGCCCTGGCCCACTGGGGGCCACGAGAATCCCAAGAGGGGCCGGGCAACCAGGGCGGTATTTGACTTCTCCTGCCCCCTCTTGCTGACCACAAAAGGGCCCGCTCGGATGAAACAGGAAACAGAGACCGAGCGCGCCCTCCTGGGCCAGGCGGGCCAGGGACTCAGAGGATGAGGATACGGATGGCGATGAGCAGCAGCAGAGCAGGATAAAAAGGAGACGGGAGGAGGAGGAAGAGGAGGAGGCGGAGCGGGAGGAGGGAGGACTGGGAGCGAGAGCGGGAGTCAGGAGGGGGCTGGGAGGAGCGAGGAGGAGCGAGGAGGTGGCTTCGGGGGGAAGGGCCCAGATCGGCTCTGGCGCCAGGGCGCAGCGGAGAGCGCCCTCCGGCCGCCGCACCACCGCGGGCGCGCGAGCGCGCCTGGGAGGCACCGGGGGCCGCGTCGAGCCCCAGGTTCTCCTTGAAGCCAAAATGGCTGCAGGGGGTCCTCTCCGTCTGCTCCTTTCGGGTCCCACTTCTGCCGCTCCTCCTGCTGATGCGGTGGCTGCTGCTCCGTCCACTTGCCGCTGCCGCTGCTGCCGCTGCTGCCGCTGCTGCCGCTGCTGCCGCTGCTGCCGCTGCTGCCGCTGCTGCCGCTGCTGCCGCTGCTGCCGCTGCTGCTGCTGCTCCTGCTCCTGCTCCTGCTCCTGCTCCTGCTCCTGCTCCTGCTCCTGCTCCTCCTCCTCCTGCTCCTGCTCCTGCTCCTGCTCCTCCTCCTCCTCCTCCTTCCTCCTCCTCCTCCTCCTCCTCCTCCTCCTCCTCCTCCTCCTCCTCCTCCTCCCCCTCCCCCAATATTGTCCACAAGGGACCCCCAGAGGGCCAGAGGCCTGGGCGGCGTCCAGGGGGGGCCGCCGGAGCGTTAGGTAACCAAAGCGGCCATGTAGAGCCCGCAGGCCCCTTCCCCCGGGGGCCCGCCGAGAGCCACTCACGAGGCCCAGGAATTCTCCTCAGAGGGCCTAGGAGACTTGTCAACCGACCACCGGGGCCAGCGCTCGGCCAGGACGCGCGCTGCGCAGTCAACGGGCGCGTCCTGAAGAAAAACAAGGTCTGTCACCAGTGCTAGGTAAGCAAGGGATGCCCGCCTTGACACGAGACCATGTTAGTTGACCCGCATGATACAACGCTTGCGTCCGAGGTCTGCCTCCGCCTGGGTTGGCACCCCACGTTCAAACCCGCCGTTCGGTCAGAAAGCCGTACCAACCAGTAGGGCAGTTGACATCCTGGTCAAGCAGTCCAGCAATCTCGGAGTGCTCCCACTCCCTGGACCCTCCTGCCGCATCCTCTCCTTACCATCTCGGTGAATTCGGCACCCGAGCCAAGACGCCGCCCTCATAATGCCGACCTCTCACGAGGAATGGACGAACTCGTTGGGACGACCCCGACGTCCGCGCACGACAGGAAGCGCGAGAGCCACTGTGGGAGAGGGGGCGTTAAGCCCTCCTCGGACCAGGTCACCCGCAGGAGCGAGAAGCCCGGGCGGCTGTTCGGGCACTCAGGAACGCTCATCTTCCCGGGGCTTTCAAGGCATGGCCGAAACCCAGTATTGAGGCATCTGGATCTAGTCTTCCCCGTGGACTCGCTCCACCACGGCCACTGGCACCACTAATGGACCAGCTCAAGCGCGGCCACTGGCATTGAATTTTGGCTACCCTGGTCACGTTGAGGATGCCGCCCTTTGTCAACCAACCGCTGGTTTCTGGGGCAACGGACTCTCCCATAAGCTGCCGAACAGTCTCCAACATTTCGCCGATGACCACCTCATCCCTGAAAATGGGTTTAGGTACCCTTTAAGCCTGTAGCGAGCTTGGTAATTCCCCTCCTCCCCGTCTCCTCCTCCTTCTCATCCTCTTCATCCTCCCACCATTGTGTCCGTGCCCCTGTCTTAAGGCTGCCGTCTTGGGTGATATTGGGCGCGTCCCTTGCCAGGATCTTCTCTGGGGGCTATAGGAGCATTTTCGGAGAGCCTGACAAGCGTCTGGACCCGTCTGAGGGCCACCAAAGCGCCGTTCGGGATCACATCCAGGAGCTTGAGTTGTCTCGGAGTGTGGCATGGCAGCCTTCCCCCTATACCGAAACAATCAGGGAAAACACATTGAGAAATCCGCTGCCCCTCTGTAGGGCTATCCCATACGCGCGATACACGGACAAGCGAGCACAACGAGACACGTGCATTGCAATTCGTAGCAAAACATCGCACCGCGATGGGAAGAACCCGCGATAGGAAGAACAGGGTGGCGTTGCAGCCTTGGCAAGTCTCGGGGCGTGCTGGGGAAGACTGAGGCTGCTTTGAGGATCTGAGGCCGTCCTGCAGGTGATGTCTCAAGGCGTTGCGAGACTTCCCGCGCCTGCTCCTCCGTCGTGGATCCCATCATCTTCGAACGTAGCAATGGGATGCAGGAGCTTCCTGCGCCAGATCAACCTGCGAGTCACCTGCGAGGGCCCCGAGGCTCGAACTGGGCCCAGGGGGGGCTGAAACCTCGAAGAGCCTCCATCGCAGCATTTCTTCGCGGTGCACAGCGGCAGACGACAGCAGCGCCACCTGCTCGCGCAGCAGCGCCTTCTCGAAGCGGAGCAGCCGGAGGGCGGGCACCTCAGCGGCTGCCGCGCCCCCGCCGAGCAGGAGCGCCGCTCCGAGGGCGCGCTCGTCGTCCTCCAGGCTCGTGGCGTACCCCAGCAGGTGCGCCTCGATCAGCTCCGCCACCCGCCCGCGCGCCGCCGCCTCCTCGCGGACGGGCGCTTTCAGGAAGCTCCAGTCCCCGAGGCTGGCCGCCTCTGCCGGCAGCTCGCCCTCGGACAACAGGCTGGCACGCACGGCCGCGAACAGGGGGCTGCCCTCGGCCCGGCAGTCCGGCAGCCACCAGGCCTGGAGGCTCTCGTCGCAGCCCGCCTCGGCACACTGCTCGACCAGCCTCCGCCGCCACTCGGGGTCGCTTTCGCGCACCAGCGCGGCCCGCGGCACGACGAGCTCGGCGGTACACACCGCGCTGCAGGCGTCGAAGAAGCCGTAGCGCTCGAATAGGTCCAGGAAGTCCGCGGACGGGTCATAGCACTGGGTGATCTCGTCGCCTGGGTCGATGGGCTGCACGGCTTCGAATCGCACCGAATCCTCCAGGACCCTCGTCCTCACAGTGGGCACGTTGCTGGAATGGTTCGCGATGTCCCAGCCCGGGCAGAGAGCCAGCCCCCGCTTGCCGCACGTGGTCAGCGCCCTCGTGCTGCAGATCAGCTTCGCCCGCAAGTACTGCGAGGGCGCCACGGCGAGGCCGTGGTCCACCAGGGCAGCCCAAACCACGGCGAAGGCAGAAAGGTCGCCCCCGCAAAACGGGGAGGCGGCGGGCCGGCCTGGAAGGTCCTCTCGCTGAGAGCAAGCGGAAAGATGGCCCCCCACCTCGGAGGACTTTCCTCGAGCACATGCCCCCCGACCGCCAACCCACCCCCAGAGCAGCTGTCAGACAAGTCGGGTTTGCACTTCCATGCCTGGCTGAGCCCTTCGGGGGTGGGGGAGGGGGGAAGGAGCAAGAGCAGGAGGAGGAACCGCAGCAACAGGAACGGGAGGAGTGAGGATGTTGAGGCGGAGGGAGCGGAAGGAGAGCGGGAGTGAGCAGAAGGAGGAGGAATGAGGAGGATAAGCGAGAAGGACGGTGCGGGATTGTGCTACCTAGGACTCACGAAGATGGCAACTACCACGCCGGACGCCTTCTCGCCGTGCAAGTCTGAACATACAAGGGCTTTCGCGTTGACGGATGGCGGTCCTCCCACAGACGCGTCAGTCGACCCTTGGCCGTCCGAGCTCGGGCGGGCTCGCAGCCCTCCTTCACAAGGTTCGCCCACGCACACTGAGCGTAGGAGGCGCATCGCCATCATGATACAAAAGCGGGGCGAAGCACAGGGTGATGTCCCAACCCCTGTGCCTTGAGAGCGCGGATTTCTCGGGCACCGGATTCAACAGATTCTGCGCCCGCTCGCTCAGAGTCTGGATCGTGGCCTGGCAAGCTCAACGGTCCATGGAGCTCACAACCGGAGGAGGCCCAGGCATCAGAGGAGGAGCAGGGCTTGACTCAGCGGTCTGGCTCGGGGCTATTCCAGTGAGCTACTCGGTTTGAAGTCGGTAATCGAAAGGACGACATCGGACGACATTGCGCTGGACCTGGTGGCAAACTCTAAGGCATCAGCTACCATGGTTACTCCTGCTGATAAGTCTGACGCTGCCAGAAAAGGCTTCTCGTACAACTATGCTCCTTTCTTTGCGCATTCGTCCGCGAAGCGATTGCCTATGAAGAATATCTCGCCAATCTCGCGCCGCTGGGCGCGCGTGGCGCGGGCTTCGAATTTGACTATCTGGATGCTCGTGGGGCCCAACCCTTCTCAAGATCGTGGATCAGAAACCAAAGCTCCCGCCAGAGATCACTGTGGGGCTCTGCCTGGCGACAAACTCCACTCCCCTTCCCTGGAAGTTCGGTCTACGACAGCCTGGCAACCACAAACAGATTTCGAGGGGTGGCATTGCACTCCTCAACACCTGAAGGATAGCATCGAGCTCCGCCGGGTAAATCCATTGCTAATTCTGGGGCAAGGGGAGGGGGCCGAAAGTGGAAATATCGAGATTCTCCCCCGAGGGATTTAAGGTGGCGTAGCTCCATCTTGCACGCAGAAAAGGCGCAACCTCACTGTACAAGAGAGATCCGTCCGTGAATACCTCAGCTGTGATGGCTCCTGGATGTTCGTCTTCATGCCGAACCTCGTACGAGACTGGCACAATATCCAATAATTCGACTGGATCCTTCGGGATGCCTCAGGCCCAGAGGGATTCATAGCCTGGGAGCGGGTTGGCTCGTCTCTGCCGCACGCGCCTGCCACCAACGCGCCTGTGCTGCTCATCACCCGCGCTGCACACAGACGTGCGGAGCAAGTCTGCACCCACAACATTATTACACGCATGGCGCTGATCTGTCGTCACTTGACCTGGTCGTCGCTCGACCAGCCTTGAGATTCTCTTTTGTGGCAACGTGCCTCCCGAGAACACGCTTCTAACACGCGTGCGATGCTCAGCAGGCCACTTCTCTGCCAGGGGCCTGCAAAGCAGCATCCTTGTCGGTTCCAGAAAGACCTGTCTCGAGACATTCACCTCGGGGACCCAGCGCGCAGTCCAGCCATTCTGTAGTCCAGAGTGTGTGTGTGTGGCCTGACGGACGAGGGAGTGGAGGTAGTGCAGGTCTAGATGTGACAAATCGTGCGCCACAGTCCCGCGCGTGATTCAGAGGCGCATCACCGTGGCAATGAACGAGTTTGCGGGCCCTCTCACAAGGCCCCACGGCCCCAGATGCCCATGGTGTCGCATGACCCACGGGCGCCATGCCGCCACCAGGAGGTCGCGCGTCGCCGCGTCCGTCGCCTCCTGCCACGCCGTGGCCTACCCGACGGTGGGCCCCGCGTTGGCGAGCACGGCGGGGTCGGCGTCCTCTGCCGGCAGCACCATCGCGGCCGCCGTCCCCTTGTTGCACCTGGGAAAGGCCACCGCGACCGACTGCCTCAGCTTGGCGATCAGCTTGTCAGGGGCCACCTGGACACGCGTGCCATTGACCTCCGACGGCATGGTCCCGAGCTTGACCACCTTTTCTACTGCGCCTCCTGCAACCTTGACCCGCTGGATCTGCCAGCTGATGGTCTTGGCCTTCATGATCCGGTTGGACTGGACTCCGACACGGCGCCGCCGCGCGGCTGACTGGGTCACGCCCAAATGTACGGCCTCATGCACGACCTGGATGCCCATCTGGCTACCAAGCTGACGCTCCACGCTGCCATGGGAGGCCGCGACGACAGTCTTGCCGTCCTTGCCCCTCGAGACCTGCAGCTTGAGCACATGCTCGAAGACGAAGTTGATCTCGTTGGTCAGCTTCGCGTGGATCGCCGCCACGATGGCGACGTCGTCTCGCATCGACGCTGCGAGGTCGTCGAAGTAGAGGCGCATGTTCGCTCTCGGGTTGGCGACGTAGAGGTCGTCGATGAGAAAGGGGGACAGACACAGCGAACGGGAAAAACTAGAGAAACGAAGAGGAGAAATGATGAGTTGGGAGGAGGAGGAGCGAGGTGGGGAAGGGGTAGAGGAGGGTTCGAGCCAGTGGATCACGCAGCCAGGAGGCGGAGGTGCAGGAGGAGGGGCAGGAGGAGAAGGCGGAGGTCGAACCTCACTACGTAACCCTGTGGTCTGACCTGCCCTGCGGTCTGCCAGTGCAGCGCTCTCCTGCTCCGCCTCAGCGAGCAGACCACGCGCCCGCCGCCACGGCACGCTGTGGGCAAGCCGCCGTGCGACGTCCCCGTCGCTAGGCCAGCAGGCCATCATGGTAGCGTCGAAATACCCAGGCGGACACACGCGCTCGAAGTTCGGGTCACTGGCAACCAACCCATGGCACGCAGCGGAGTGACGCCCCCCGCCCCCTAGCCGTGGCCAACCGTGCGCACCGAGCCCAACACCCCCCACGAAACCTCCACAGCTGCGCAAGACCTCCCGCCCCGCAGGCAACGACTGCTGACAATACCCTCCAAGATGGCCCGAGGAACCAGGCAAGCTTTTCAAAAGCCCGATCAATCCCCCAGGGAGGTACCAACAAACTCCTCGGAAGCTGGGCCCCCCCCGGTGTCACAAGCTACGGCCCACTGGGCCATGAGGAAATCACATGTCCTATGTAACAGCCCCCTGGGATCTGGGAAGGAGCACTGCCAGACGTTACGCCGATCTTGGCGATGAAAAAAACAATCACATGTCACGTGTTTCCCGAGGCTGCAGGAGACCGTGCTGCATGGCGTGCCCCTCCGGGGCCGAGATCGTATCGTGTTGTATATCGAGCGCTCACGCGTCACAATCGTTCGGGCGGTTCTCGAAGGGTCGCCATACAGAGAGTGATGCGCTGGCACGCGGCCGAGCTTCCTGCGGGCCACCTCGAACCACGCGAGCGCCATCTAACGCGAGCGCCCTCTAAAACATCAGCAGACAATTCAGGGGCAAGTGAACGCAATCTGTTCGTCCATGGGCTTGCTGTCCGGCTGCCAGTGGCCCGAGAAGTAAATGGAGCGCGGGTCCTCTGGCCTCTCTCTCAGCAGTACTAAGAGCGCGACCAGCATCCTCCCGAACAAGTCGTCCGCCGGAATCCTGTCGGACATGTGGTGGCCTGAGAGATCGCTGGAAGTCACGCACATGTCAAACGGTATTTCGAGCACGACGGTCCCAACTGCTGCCTTCGCCGTGGCGCGTAGCGCCACGTTGCCCTCCGCCACCTGGAACGCTTCGACTATGCCCTTGCCCAGCAGCGCGGCCGACGCTTCCTGCAGGCGGAGCGAGCTATTGACGCCCCCACTGTCCAGCGGCGCTGACGAGCTACATACTGACATCACAAAATCCGCCGCCGTGCTCCCTGGCACATTGAGGCGTGATGGAATCCAATTACAGACAGGCGCTTGCCCCCCCCCTTTCTCCCAAGGCCGCTACCCCTCGTAAAAAAACGATGGGGCTGCGATGCCGAGGCCGCGATCCCTTGTAAAAAGGTCCGCGCCTAGAGCTTCCAAGACAGCCCAGGCAGGTGGCCCACAATGCCTCGAAGACGGCCCGAGATGGCCTCAAGACAGCCAAACATGGTCCCAGGAGGACCCCCGACAGGGTCCGAGCCCGCCCAAATCAGTGATTGTTCTGCCGTTTGCTCTCTCTCTCTCTCTCTCTCTCTCTCTCTATATATATATATAGATATGATGTTCGCATTCGTGCCGCCCTTGTCTGTTTCCGTTCGACCCAAGAAGCCTCCAAGATGGCGTCAAGCCGGCCGAAGGGGCCACCAACAGGCTCGAAAGATAGCCCCAGGACTTTAAAGACGGCTGAAGAGGGCATCTGGGGGGACCCAAGACTGCCTGAGGAGGCCCCTAGCCGGCCCAAGTCGGCCTCACGACGGCCCCCAGACACCCTCCCCGTATGGCCAAGACGGCCTCAAGACGACCCAAGAGAGCCTCAAGATACCCAGGAAAGCCCAAGACGGCCCCTAGGGACCCCTAAGACTGCCCTACAGGAGGCCAATCAAGCCCCAAGACAGCCCTTCCTGAGTGATGACGAAAAGTGTCACATATGACGGCCTTCCTCTTCCTCGCCCTCCTCGTCCTCCTCCTCCTCCTCCTCCTCGTCCTGCTGTTGCATCTCCTGCTCCTCCTCCCCCTCTTTCTAGTCTTCCTCCTTCTCATCAGCATCATCCGTATCCGTATCCACCTCGTCATCATCATCATCATCATCATCATCATCATCAGCATCATCAGCATCATCATCATCATCATCAGCAGCATCATCATCATCATCATCAGCATCATCATCATCATCATCATCAACAGCATCATCATCATCATCATTATCATCTGCATCATCATCGTCATCATCAGCATCAGCATCATCATCAGCAGCAGCATCATCAGCATCATCAGCATCAGCATTATCATCATCATCAACATCATCATCATTAACATCACCATCATCATCGCCATCACCATCAACATCATAAACATAATCACCATCACCATCAACAACATCATCATCATCATCATCATCAGTATGACTGTCATTATCAGCAGCATCACCACTATCAGCATCATCATCATCATCGGCATCACCATCAGCAGCATCATCATCATCATTCCCCACCTCTGTTCCTCATCTTCCACCTCTTCCTCCTCCGTCTCCTCATCATCATCATCACTGGCAGCCGCCACATCATCAACCCCATCACCATCACCAGCAGAATCACTGGCATCATCAGTATCATCAGCACTACCAGCATCAGTGACACCAGCAGCAACATCATCTTCATCGTCATCAACAGCACCAACATCATCAACATCATCAACATCGTCATCCGCGTCATCATCATCATCATCATCATCATCATCATCATCATCATCATCATCATCATCATCATCATCATCATCATCATAATTTTTCTCATCCTCACCACCATCGCGATTCTGCCTGGGAGCACGAGATGTCACACGTGACGGCCTCCCGTGACCCGTCGCAAAAATCGCCACTGAGAATGCTGGGCTGGCACAGTGGCGGGACTTGCCGCAGGCAGCTGGATAAACGAACGCCACGAAACAGGCTGATCGGGAAAACAAGCGCCGTCGAACACCGCGGGTCTAAACTGAGCCAAATAGCCATGATAAACACACGCACACATAAGCACACACACTTGTGTAACACCGCTGGCGATGTGACACCTCAGTCGCGGTTCAGACGCAAGGAGTTCAAACACACATATTGCACCCACCCGCGTGGGTGAACCCAAACTGCTTGGAGAATGGCGCCGAACGAGGGAGACCGCGTCGAATTATTCGCCAGAGGATTGGAACACTCCGGCGTTATAATTGGTATGTTGCCTTGTGCTACCACCGTCAACGGGTTTATCTCCTCAGTTGGCCAGATCTTAGGATTCGACATGGCTAAAGCAAAACTCTGCTAAGCGAAGGTCTACAGCCAAATAGGTGCAGGGAGGGGAGCCGACTGGTCGATGGCGCGCGCCCCTTCTTTCACCAAGCTGTAGCCTCATCAGGATGCGGATCCAACGCCAATGACAGACGACGATGGCGGCGGCGGGAAACGGCGAGGAACGAGTCACTTCAACTCCCCCAGTAGCAGGATGATTCAGTTCATGTCTGAATTGACAGACTTCGTGTCATCCCCAGGCGCATTGGCCCCCAAAGTGCCAACCACAAGAAAAACCTTTTACGGCACACGAGGCGGGATGGCAGCCACTTCTGGCAGGGCTCTTGAAGCGGGCCGAAACAGACTGACGTATCCCACAACTGAAAACAGTGCGCCAGCGCATGGTCAAGTTCTCCGTTGAGGCCTTTGCCATGAACTTGACAGACGGCTCAGCCGCGCATTCTTTTTGTATTCCGCAGCCAAAGAAAACACGTCTATTTGCAACCGATCTCCAAACTGAACGTGATCTCGTGCTCCTGATAATTTGCCTTTGCGGCTCCAATCACGTTCGAAGGGCGGTATCTTTGATTGTACTCACGACGACTCCACCATTGCCACTTTCCCTCCCACTTATTGTATACGTGATAGTGTGACAACCTGAGCCCGCCCAATAATGCTGGCTCATGTCCCAGTCTCCGCTAGCATCGCACTCCCTGTGAATGTCTTGGTTTACGCGGCGCTGCAACGAGGATGCCACGGATGCAAAAGGCGATTAATGAAGCGTCCGTCAGAATCACTTCATTGCCAACTCGGATGTCACCAGTACGTCTGCCTTGCGGCGCCGGCGATTCGCTGGCACGGCCGGGAGCCGGTCTCTCCGGTGCTGGCGGGTCCGAAGGGCGACGAGTAGGCGGTGCCGGTGGACGAGGCACTTGCATCTGGGAAGGCGCTGGACCACCGGTTGCGCCAGCGGTTGCACCAGGAGCGGGGCCAATGTCCACCGCAGTGCTTGCACCAGGAGCATTGCCATTGACTAAGTCAGCGACGGCTCCTGGTGCAGGTGCACTGATGGGACTGGCAGCAGTGCCTGGGAAACGCCACTACGGCCTCGGCGCCTGCCTCACTGGGCGACGCCATGGCGGCAGGCTCCGCCGCGCCGCCGGTTGATCCGGCTGCGCCGCCCACGCCCATTGAGCCCACTTTTTCGGCTAAGCCGACAATAGGCTCCCCGCCCCCTTGCATGGGCGAATAACGCCAAAGGGGATCGTCGCAGTTTGTTCATCATATTGTGCAACCGTCCGATCCCAGAGTTCAGCGTTGTCTCCATAAGCTCCTTCGGCCCAATCGAATCGGCCGCCGAGCTCCACGGTGCAAGCATGAATCGGCGTGGCGAGATTGCGCATCTCAGTCTTTAGATTCCAATCCAGATCATAAGTTCTCGTCGAACTTATCCGAAATCTCCGCGGCCGTCCTCGACTCCGCGCCCGACGCGCAGGCGCCTGCGTTCCTCTGTCTCGGGCAGCGCTTGAGTCCGAAAGGTGCCTCCCCATCGGCGCCCCCAGCCCGAAAGCCCATATAACGGCCCTCCAAAATTAAATTCGGAATGCGCTCCCTGGTGATCCCAAGAAATCTATAAGATGTCAGTTCAAAAGGCACTTTGGGGATTTTCCAAACATGGTCAACACGGCCGATGCCGAAATTGGGCGGAACGGAGTTCGCATGGTTGCCGCTTTCCCTCAAATACTCCACGACGCACTGGCCTGGCACGCCTTTCGCATGCAACACGAACGTCGTGATGAAGAACGCCATAGTGGGTCCCCCGGCCATTTCGGGGGGAGGTGCGTCGTTCGACCCGCGGGGCGCGCGAACTTCACTCTCTCTTCCATCGGCAAATTATTCTGCCGCGGCGCGGCTCGAAGCGTGCGTGGAGGTCATCGGGGCGAGATTGAACGGGAACACAACTGCGTCCTCGCTGTCGTCTGGAACATCTAGGATGACCGGCACGGGCGGCTCAGCGGCCTGCGCGGGTTCTCCCTGATCCCACGCCAAAGGCTTTCCAGTTCCCATTTCGTGGAAATCATTTCCGCGGCGTGCAACCGACTTGGAGGATCGACGCAGCAGATCGCGGAAGGCGCCCATACCGCGGATGGATCCGCCGGTTATTCGGGATCCGCGGGCGCGTGCCATTCGAGTGTCTTTTGCGCGCGCGATGCTCAAATATCTGCCAACTTCAGTCGGAGGATCAATCTCTATCCTTTTTGGGCAACCCCGGGCTGGTCCTTGTACAGTCGCCAGCCTTTTTCTATAATCCAGAAGCCCTTATAAGCGCGACGCTTCAAAGCAGTCCTGGGGGACTGCTTTGAAGAATGGGCATCGTTCAAAGCAGTTCACCGGGACTGCTTTGAAAGATGCCGCTTTGTGGCCAGAAGAGTGCAGGGAGGAACAGGAGGAGGGGGGGAGAATGAGGAGAAGGCGGTTGCAAGTTGCGCCGATGGCTCCTGTCTGGCGCCCCGCTGCGCTCAGGGGGGCAGAGGAGGAGGGGGAGGAGAAGGAGGAGGAGTGGTTCGAGGAAGGATCGGCATGATTTTTTCTCATCAGTTTCGGCCCCTGGAGGAGGCCCAGCGGGGCAACAAAGCCGCAGTTGCGGCGACCCAGAGTAAATAATTCAAAATCGAAGCTCCCCCCCAGGGCGGATCGTTTCAGGAACATTTCTAACCAATTTCCTCCCTCCATCCTTCCTCTCTCACTTCTCATACTCGCTTCTCCCAGAGTTTCTGGGGCGCCCCCCCCCGCCGCGCGGTCACGTGGGAGCGGCCTGGTGGGGCGCGCTCTGACCACCTCCTCTGGGCCCTGGGGCGCCCCCCCCGCCGCGGGAAAGCGGTCGCGGGGGGGGCGCTCTGGTGGGGCGCGTTCTGATCACCTCCTCTGGGCCCTGGTGCGCCCCCCCCCCCCCGCCGCGGGAAGCGGTCGCGGGGGGGGCGCCCTGGCGGGGCGCGTTCTGACAATCTCCCCTGGGCCATGGGGCGCCCCCTCCGCCGCGGGACAGCGGTAAAGGGGGGGCGCTCTGGTGGGGCGCGTTCTGACCGCCTCCCCTGGGCCCTGGCACCCCCCCCCCGCCGCGAGGAAGCGGTCACGGGGGGGGCGCCCTGGAAAAGGTGGCTCTCGACCCCTCCTCGATCATCCCTCCAGCGCCGCTCGGCTCAAGCCAACTCGCGCCTGTCCAGGATAGGCGGAGACTTGCACGGGTTGGCAAATATGTGCGCAAGGGGGGCTGACGAAGAAGCAGAGAAGAGAAGGGCCGCAGTTGCAGCGTCTCCACGGGGCAGGGGCGGCGATGGGGGAGCTTGTGGATGGTGGGGCGACCGCAGCGGCGGATGGGGTGGCGGGGGCGGCCGCAGCGGTGGATGGCAAGGCGGAGATTGGTGCAGTGGCGCATGGCAAGGGGAAGGATGGGGCAATGGCGACGGAGGTGACCGCAGTCGCGGATGGGAGTGCGGCGGCGGAGGTTGGCAAGACAACCGCCGCGGAGAAGGGGGCGGCGGCGGAACTCACGGCGACAGTGGAAGTTGGGAGGGCCGCGCCGGCGGCGAAGGAGAGGGCGCAGGCGAACGCAGGCAGGACCGCTGGAGCGGATGGGAAGGCCGCCGCTGGAGCGGCTGGGAAGACGGCCCCCGGAGCGAGCGGGAAGGCGGCCGCGAAAGCCCATGGAAAGGCGCAGTTGCGGCGTTGCGCATATCCAAGGAGAGGGTGCCCCCACAGGGCGAGGAGATGCCGCAGTTGCGCATGTCCACGCAGAGGGCGCCCCCACAGGGCGAGCGGCAGATCGCGCGGAGGGCAAGGGGAAAGGCGCAGTGGCGCATGTCCAAGGAGAGGGCGCCCCCACAGGGCGAGGAGATGCCGCAGTTGCGGACGCAGGCGCTCCCGCGATGTTCTTCGTAAACAGAGGGGTGTACAAGCTGGAGTTATTCGAAAACTACGTGGCGCGCTGGCATGGGAACTATAAGCAGCGCAACGCAGCCTTGAAGTTTTCCGAGGCGAGTACGAAGACACAGCTGACCCCTTCAACAGCCGAACGCCTGTTTTCGACCCCGCAGTTGCGGAGCAGATTTCGCGCATCGTCAAGTACAAAGGGGGCGGAAGGATGTAGGACAACAGGGGCTGGGAGTGGGACCATACAGAGCAGGTCCCGTGGTCTTGGCTGCAGCTGGTCGCGCAGATGGATTCGGCTACAATGCAGCTCGAGGTGCGCGGCCCTGACAACGACCGCAGTCGCAGACTGGTCAGGTGCGAGTGCCGCCCATGCCCGGACAGTGACGACCACAACAGGCACGCCAAAGGGGTGGACAGAGGACAAGCGCAGGCAGCCCATTTGCCCGTCTGGGATTTCGTACCCATCCGCGACGACGGCTCAGGCATTCGCGTTCACCCAGAATGGCCCCGTCCGAAGTTCAGCACGCATGAGGTTGAGCCCCGCTGGGGGCCCGTGCGGCCACCAGGGGCGGGCCTCGGCAACAGCGCGGGCCGTGGAACGTTCAGATACTACAATTGATTGCACGCCAACCCAATTCAGGGGCGGTTCGATGCCACCGAAGGAGCTGGGCTACAACCGCGGTGGGAGAAGGCTTGAAACCGCAGCTGCGGTAACCGATCTCGTGAAACCGCGACCCTTTCACTCACTTCGCGCGTCTTCGCCCGCAGTTGCGGCGCCCCCCCTTGCGCGGCGCATGCGTCCGA